AAAGGTAATGAGGAAAGTTGTTATATATTAATATAATAATAATAATAATAATAATAACTATTATAATTATTATTAGTTTTATTATAGAATATCTAATATAATTTATTATGTTTTATTCACAGTAACACCAGGAACATGTAAATAAGAAAGTGAATAAGGTCTATTTTAATTTTATAAAATAGACCTTTACAAATGATATCAAAAAATTAATTATATTTTTATGAGTCTCACAAAATCTAGATAAAATAGACTTTCCATTCATCTTGTCCAGTTAGACATATTGTACAGTCTTATAGTTCATATGGCTTTAGCAGAAGCGTAATATGGTTACTTGCCCTTTAAATTTATTCTCCCGCGTTTTTGCAACAGGGTCGTAGTTCAGCGGAAGTACGGCTTGTATCCGTATTTAAAGGCGCCAACAAAGACTAACTCAGGAACAGCTTCACAAACCTGCCATCTGTACTCACATCATCCAACAGCACACTACAGCTTAGTTAACGCATTAAAATGCCCGAGGAAACAGCAGCTGCTTCAACTGCCGAAAGGTAAAATACTATTTTTAAATTAAGTGCGCTCCCTGGGAAGTAAGCAGAAGTTAAAGGAAGTCAGAGTGAGAGGTTTTGGCTGGTTTCGTTTGATAACAACGCTGCAGCAGCTCCGTCCTTGTCAGGAAAAATGTGTCGCCCTCGTGCTTCTATTCGCTTTTCTCCTGTGGCCGGACATCGTCGCAGGCGACGGGATGGCATCACCGTTGATTCCCGTTGACGTGTTGTTTGGGCGCTCTCATTTGGCGGGAGAGGGTTTGATATGAACGGCTAGCTTGTTTAAGTATCCTAAATGAGATAATTCCCGCTCTGTTGACACGCAGTCATGAATGGCCCGTCGGTGAGCTTGGCGCTGCATTGAAATGACTGCACGCGCGCCGAAGTTGAGCGTTGAGTTTGAAAGGTGGCGGTAACAACACAAATATCGCTTTAAATTGCCCGCTTTGGGTATTATACTTACATTAAACTGTGACGTTAGATGTTAGCCATAAACGTGTGTCATGTTGGCACACTGTCAAGAAATAACAGTTATAGTAGCATCGTGCTAACTTTGGTCCTTCGCAGTGAACCTCTGAAGCAAACTTTAGTGAAATTTTGCTCTCATTGGACGTATTCTTCAGACGAAGCAAGGCTTTTTAATAATGTTTGATTATTTTTGTATTGTTTGTCTTTGCAGTATGGAAGAGAAACCTTGCTCGTCAAGCGCTGCAGACAGGTGAGTTGGTATCTGGACTTCGTTTTATTAAAACCGCGCGCTCCCTGGGAAGTAAGCAGAAGTTAAAGGAAGTCAGAGTGAGAGGTTTTGGCTGGTTTCGTTTGATAACAAAGCTGCAGCAGCTCCGTCCTTGTCAGGAAAAATGTGTCGCCCTCGTGCTTCTATTCGCTTTTCTCCCGCGGCCGGACATCGTCGCAGGCGACGGGATGGCATCACCGTTGATTCCCGTTGACGTGTTGTTTGGCCGCTCTCATTTGGCGGGAGAGGGTTTGATATGAACGGCTAGCTTGTTTAAGTATCCTAAATGAGGTAATTCCCGCTCTGTTGACACACAGTCATGAATGGCCCGTCGGTGAGCTTGGCGCTGCATTGAAATGACTGCACACGCGCCGAAGTTGAGCGTTGAGTTTGAAAGGTTTGCGGTAACAACACAAATATCGCTTTAAATTGCCCACTTTGGGTATTATACTTACATTAAACTGTGACGTTAGATGTTAGCCATAAACGTGTGTCATGTTGGCACACTGTCAAGAAATAACAGTTATAGTAGCATCGTGCTAACTTTGGTCCTTCGCAGTGAACCTCTGAAGCAAACTTTAGTGAAATTTTGCTCTCATTGGACGTATTCTTCAGACGAAGCAAGGCTTTTTAATAATGTATGATTATTTTTGTATTGTTTGTCTTTGCAGTATGGAAGAGAAACCTTGCTCGTCAAGCGCTGCAGACAGGTGAGTTGGTATCTGGACTTCGTTTTATTAAAACCGCTCATTTCCCTAAAACGAGTTTAGTTTCGTTACTCACATTTTCGTTTACTTTTGCAGCTCCGTCGATGTTTCTGAGGAAGCAAAGAAGCTGATTGGCACAGGCAACCGGCACTTGGTGATGGGTGATGTTGTGTCTGCAGTGAGTGTGTTCCAGGAGGCTTGTGCCATGCTGTGAGTAGTGAAGGAATATTGTAATATGTATTTAAAGGAAATTTGTGGTACCTGCCATTGTTTGAATAAGTAAACTTTTTTTTAAATTTTTTTTTATTTTTTATATTATGCTCTATTTTTACTTTAATGTGTAACCCATTTTCCCCCTTAAGAGCTGAAAAGTATGGAGACACTGCTGATGAATGTGGTGAAGCTTTTTTCTTGTGTGGGAAAGCCCTTCTGGAGCTTGCCAGGTATCTGGATTAATTAGAATTTAGTGTTACATTTATAAAAAGAAACTTATCAGTTTATCTAACTCTTGTTTTTAATACCACTTTAGGATGGAGAATACAGTGCTTGGTAATGCTTTAGAGGGAGTCCCAGAAGAATCCTCTGAAGAGGGTGAGAAACAGAATGACTCCAAGATTGAAAGCGCAGACAACTTGGATGGTTTGTATTTTAAGTTTTGTTTGTCAGTTAATTGTTAATTTTGTGCTTTTCATGTATGCTCAAGGATTGACATCACATTTGCAAAAATTGTTTCCAGAGAACCACCAAATTGACAGGTGTCAGTGCTCTGCACAACAAACCAGCACATATTGACAACGCATAACTTGATTCTAAATAAGAGGGACTCTAAGGTTGATGATACACTGGGCAGCTTATTGAGCAATGTTGCTGGGCAACCATTGTTGGCGTCAATGGGCAACCAGGTGTGACACGGGGCCCATGACCGATCTAAAGAATCCAGATAGAAATTGGTTACCCATTCTCAGTGTGAAAGTGCTCAAGCAACTTTGCTCAAATAGTTGCCTCGTATATCATCACTGAATATGATATTAACTGTAACCTAGAAATATCCCTCCATTTGTACTATAATGCAGAGAAAACCAGAGATGAGCTTCGAGCACAGGTTTATGATGCCATGACAGAGGACAAAACTTGGTCTGAGGTAGAAAAAGAGGTGGGGGTTAGTGTGTTACATTTATAAAAAGAAACGTATCCGTTTATCTAACTCTTGTTGTTTTAAATACCACTTTAGGATGGAGAATACAGTGCTTGGTAATGCTTTAGAGGGAGTCCCAGAAGAATCCTCTGAAGAGGGTGAGAAACAGAATGACTCCAAGATTGAAAGCGCAGACAACTTGGATGGTTTGTATTTTAAGTTTTGTTTGTCAGTTAATTGTTAATTTTGTGCTTTTCATGTATGCTCAAGGATTGACATCACATTTGCAAAAATTGTTTCCAGAGAACCACCAAATTGACAGGTGTCAGTGCTCTGCACAACAAACCAGCACATATTGACAACGCATAACTTGATTCTAAATAAGAGGGACTCTAAGGTTGATGATACACTGGGCAGCTTATTGAGCAATGTTGCTGGGCAACCATTGTTGGCGTCAATGGGCAACCAGGTGTGACACGGGGCCCATGACCGATCTAAAGAATCCAGATAGAAATTGGTTACCCATTCTCAGTGTGAAAGTGCTCAAGCAACTTTGCTCAAATAGTTGCCTCGTATATCATCACTGAATATGATATTAACTGTAACCTAGAAATATTCCTCCATTTGTACTATAATGCAGAGAAAACCAGAGATGAGCTTCGAGCACAGGTTTATGATGCCATGACAGAGGACAAAACTTGGTCTGAGGTAGAAAAAGAGGTGGGGGAAGGTGAGCAGAAGAACCAAGAGGAAGTTAAGGAGAAGCAGGAGAAGGTTGAAGCACCAAAGGAAGGGGATGCAGCATCACAAAAAACTGAGAAACCAGCTGAACACAAGGCAAAACCTGCTGAAAATGAGAAACTAGCCGAACTTGAAGCAAAACCTGCTCAAGATGAGGAGAAACAAGCTGAACATGAGGTGAAACCTGCTGAAAATGAGAAGCAAGCTGAACATGAAGCAAAACCTGCTCAAGATGAGGAGAAACAAGCTGAACATGAGGTGAAACCTGCTGAAAATGAGAAACTAGCTGAACATGAAGCAAAACCTGCTCAAGATGAGGAGAAACGAGCTGAACATGAGGTGAAACCTGCTGAAAAAGATGCTGAGAAGTCAGAAGGTGTGGATAAAAGTGGTTCTATAAAGGAAGATGTCACTGTGTCAAATGGAGTAACTGAAAAGGCTGAAAAAGATGAAAAGGTTGAGGAGAAAAATGAAGAGACTGAAGAACCCATGGAAGAGGGTGGAGGAGGTAGTGAAGCATGGTGGAGTCTGGGGAGCACGAGATTTGTGTATTAAATGCCTTTGCTAAACTTCACCTGGTGAATCTTCTAAGCACTGGTGTATTCATAGAGTATTTGGCTTTTTAAGCTGCAGTGTCACGAAGGGTATCCAAGGTGATGGATTTTCACATTAGGTCAATGTCAGTGAGTTAACATCTTTTATGTTTTAGATGACGACGAGGAGGAGGAGGAGGAGGAGGATGATGATGATGATGATGAGGATGCAGAGGGTGAAACAAAGGATAAGGTTTGTAATCCACTGTAAAAGCGGTTTGTCGTCCCCGTCTTCATTGATTTTACTGATTTATCTTCGTGTCCTTGTGCTTTTAGGAGAGTGAGGAGGATGAAGTTGGAAACCTGCAGTTGGCCTGGGAGATGCTTGAGGGAGAAACAAGCTGAACATGAGGTGAAACCTGCTGAAAAAGATGCTGAGAAGTCAGAAGGTGTGGATAAAAGTGGTTCTATAAAGGAAGATGTCACTGTGTCAAATGGAGTAACTGAAAAGGCTGAAAAAGATGAAAAGGTTGAGGAGAAAAATGAAGAGACTGAAGAACCCATGGAAGAGGGTGGAGGAGGTAGTGAAGCATGGTGGAGTCTGGGGAGCACGAGATTTGTGTATTAAATGCCTTTGCTAAACTTCACCTGGTGAATCTTCTAAGCACTGGTGTATTCATAGAGTATTTGGCTTTTTAAGCTGCAGTGTCACGAAGGGTATCCAAGGTGATGGATTTTCTAATTAGGTCAATGTCAGTGAGTTAACATCTTTTATGTTTTAGATGACGACGAGGAGGAGGAGGAGGAGGAGGATGATGATGATGATGATGAGGATGCAGAGGGTGAAACAAAGGATAAGGTTTGTAATCCACTGTAAAAGTGGTTTGTCGTCCCCGTCTTCATTGATTTTTACTGGTTTATCTTCGTGTCCTTGTGCTTTTAGGAGAGTGAGGAGGATGAAGTTGGAAACCTGCAGTTGGCCTGGGAGATGCTTGAGGTTGCAAAGGTGATTTATAAAAGGTATGCCCTTATTACATGCCTATTTTAATTATGCACTTGCGCAAGCTTCGTTTCAAAAGACACATGATCTTTTATTTGGTTTGAAGAAAAGACAGCACAGAAGATCAGCTAATGGCGGCACAGATTTACCTGAAACTTGGGGAAGTTGGAGCTGAATCAGGTGTGTGGTGGGCGTAGATGAAAATGACTTAATTTAAGGACCTTTTTTGGGTTTTACAAGTTGCCGTAAAATTGAAGCTGCCCCTCATTAGTAATTCTTCACTCTTTATTAACTAGTCTCTCTGTTTTGTTTTATGTAGGTAACTACAGCCAGGCTCTGGATGACTTCAATGAGTGTTTAACCTTGCAGCTGAAACACCTTCCCTCTCATAGTCGTCTTCTGGCTGAGACTCATTACCAGCTGGGCACAACTTACAGCTACACAGCCCAGTACAGCCAAGCCATTGAGCACTTCTCCAACTCTATCAAAGTCATCGAGAGCCGTCTTGGTAGGAACATTTTCACAGTGTGTTTTGCCAGTCCTCATGTGTTTTTAACTGAGAATTTGCTTGCTGATAACACTAGTTGCCATGAGCAAGCATGGTACTCTCAATTGATTTCCACATCGCTTTTCCTCCAGCTATGCTTCAGGAGGTAATAGACAAGGCGGAAGGTGCAAAGGAGAAGAGTGAGCTTGAGGAGTTGAAACAGTTACTGCCAGAAATCACTGAGAAGATTGAAGATGCCAAGGAGGGCCAGAGGACGGCTGCTGCAGCATCTGAGGCCATCCATCAGACTCTTGTGAGTTGCATTAGGGCAATAATGTAAAAGCATGAAGCATGTTATCCATTGTTCAGTGCTTTGCAGTGGTTGATGACAAATCTGATATCGGCTTATATTATACATTTAATGAATCTGGTACGGTTATGTCATCAATCCCTAGCATTACTCTTAGTACACAAAAAAAGTGGAGATCAAGTTGGGCATGTGGGTCATCCAGGATGCAACGAAGGTAGTTAAAAAAGAGACCATGATGAATGGTTTGAAATTTGTTTGTGTGCAAAGGAGAAGAGTGAGCTTGAGGAGTTGAAACAGTTACTGCCAGAAATCACTGAGAAGATTGAAGATGCCAAGGAGGGCCAGAGGACGGCTGCTGCAGCATCTGAGGCCATCCATCAGACTCTTGTGAGTTGCATTGGGGCAATAATGTAAATGCATGAAGCATGTTATCCATTGTTCAATGCTTTGCAGTGGTTGATGACAAATCTGATATCGGCTTATATTATACATTTAATGAATCTGGTACTGTTATGTCATCAATCCCTAGCATTGCTCTTAGTACACAAAGTGGAGATCAAGTTGGGCATGTGGGTCATCCAGGATGCAACGAAGGTAGTTAAAAAAGAGACAATGATGAATGGTTTGAAATTTGTTTGTTACAGGCAGGAGCATCCACTTCATCAGCATTCCCTGCTGAAAATGGCAGCCCATCCTCATCTACTGCTAGTCAGGTGTGTGTGTGCATAATGTTACCTTGATTAACATTAGGGATGGGTGATACTTTGTTACAATTTCTTAAACGGGCCATAACTTTTCCTGAAGTGTGGCCATCCTCATTTTGAATGTTTGAAAGCTCTAAGGGGTATCTCTCCTCTTTAAGGGTACTTTAAGCCTATAGCGTATTATGCCACCCTAAAATGCCTGTTTTATTTCAGATTCCTGTGAGGCCAGCTGATGGTGCGTCTTCCTCAAAATCTGCATCGGACATTTCTCACCTTGTTCGCAAAAAGGTGAGTATCTATCCACTGAAGTCTAATTTAACCTTTGCAGTAGACTTAAGGTTGGGGGGGGACTAGCATGTACATTACAACTGGAGTGAATGAGGGTAGTCTGCCCATAAAGGGCCATCTGCATTGCTACCTTCCCGTTAGTTGAGGTCAATTATGCATGCTGGGTCATGAGCAGAATTTGCCAACTAGATTAGGTTTGGTGTTGCTTGGTGCTTCTATGGTGTTTGTGCTTCAATATTGTGGCTTGGCATATTGTAGTTGTGGCATGGCGTTGAAGTGGTCATGTGTGCTTGAGTAGCATGTAGTTACTAGGTGTGTAGCGCACAAAATAAGTACATGTTCTGTCCTGCTTTATTCCTGCACAGAGGAAACCAGACGAGGAGAGTCCAAAAAAGGACAGTGATGCTAAAAAGACTAAACAGGAGACCTCAGTTAATGGCAGCGGTGACTCCGCCCACAACGGCAATGGAGTCCAGGAGAAAATGGAGCAGGAGGCGAGTTGATAGACTTGCTGTTTCCTTTAATACAGTCCCTGGGCTCAACAATTAGGGCCGTTCGATGGGCCAGCATAAAAGATGCTTGGGACAGTTGACGGAGTTATCACTGCAGCGTCATTTTCAACACAAGAAGCTGCAAACTAGCGCTGTACATGAGCATTGTTTGTCTCTTCTGTGCGCACCCACAAGCAAAGCGTGCAAGTTCTCTTTTGCATCTTGTGCAAATATACATCAAATTGTCAGTCTGTTTTGGGAAGTATTCACGTAAACGGTCAGTTAGGTTTTAACTGGATGTAAACGGGGGAGGGGGGTGTGCCAGGGAATCTGATGTGCCAGTATATTTAATCTATACACTGGATCATAAAGTGCCAGCAGCCTAAAATACCTGCTGTTGTTAATGTTAATCAAACAAAAGGGAAAGTCACTCGCTGCTTTTGACTGAATAACTTTCTGTAGTATCTGGAATATTTGTCATCGGGGCCTAAAATTAACACTCGCCAAGCGCCAAATGAGAGAAAATCAGCGTTAGCGAGTATATGTAACACTGTCAGTCGCCAGTTGGCAGGTACAACTTTTAGGGCCGTTCGATGGGCCAGCATAAAAGATGCTTGGGACAGTTGACTGAGTTATCACTGCAGCGTCATTTTCAACACCAGAAGCTGCAAACTAGCGCTGTACATGAGCATTGTTTGGCTCTTCTGTGCGCACCCACAAGCAAAGCGTGCAAGTTCTCTTTTGCATCTTGTGCAAATATACATCAAATTGTCAGTCTGTTTTGGGAAGTATTCACGTAAACGGTCAGTTAGGTTTTAACTGGATGTAAACGGGGGGGTGCCAGGGAATCTGATGTGCCAGTATATTTAATCTATACACTGGATCATAAAGTGCCAGCAGCCTAAAATACCTGCTGTTGTTAATGTTAATCAAACAAAAGGGAAAGTCACTCGCTGCTTTTGACTGAATAACTTTCTGTAGTATCTGGAATATGTCATCGGGGCCTAAAATTAACACTCGCCAAATGAGAGAAAATCAGCGTTGGCGAGTATATGTAACACTGTCAGTCGCCAGTTGGCAGGTACAACTTTTACGAATTATAACATTGCAATGAAGTGAAAATAACAGCCAGTTTTTAAAGAGATTCGCTGTTTTTGACATAAGCTAATAAAATCTTGTCCGAAGACAAGATCATCGTGATTAGCTGTTCTGTCATAAGCGGCAAGAGCGAATCAAATAATCGAATACAAACGGACTGATAAGGTGATGGCCAGCTTGTCCCTAGACACGGTTCGAATAACTTTTACCTGAGAAGATATTGCTGCTTCATTTCGGAAGATTAACATTTCCCTTTATTCTTCATAACCCGAGAATGTGGCGAGACATACCTGGGGTTACGCCGCCTAAACGGTGCAGTGAAGTATAGTTTGAAAAGCGCATTCGGCTGTACACGTACCCTGAGCCGCTTCAGACAGCTCACCAGTAGCGCGGACTGATAAGGTGATGGCCAGCTTGTCCCTAGACACGGTTCGAATAACTTTTACCTGAGAAGATATTGCTGCTTCATTTCGGAAGATTAACATTTCCCTTTATTCTTCATAACCCGAGAATGTGGCGAGACATACCTGGGGTTACGCCGCCTAAACGGTGCAGTGAAGTATAGTTTGAAAAGCGCATTCGGCTGTACACGTACCCTGAGCCGCTTCAGACAGCTCACCAGTAGCGCTTCAACACACGAAAACCCACACAATTATGTGAAAATGCACTGTTTTGGCGAGTTACCTTGTAAACGTAGTCTTAAATGACCGTGAAGAGTTGGGAGAAAATCGGATGCGTGTCAGATCCGCGTCATATGCATCAGGTTTTAAAGAGACCGCACTGATTTTAAAGTGAAATCTGCTGAAGTCTGTCATTAATGTAAATCAAAGAACAAAAGAAAAACTGTTCTAGTCGCTGATTAACGTTTATAGCTTGAATAAAGATTAATATGTATAGTTTATGCATATATAATATAGTTTATGTGAAGATTGTTTTAAAATCACTTATATAGTTTGTGAAGATTGTTTTAAAATCACTTAAATTTAAAAAGTTATATATTTCAGAGCCTATTAAATGTTAAAAATAAGGGCTTTCAATTATACTGTAATGTTGAATGGCTGTAATAGGTAAAATTGAGGGAAAATGCACCAGCAGGACAAAAACATTGTAAATATGTTTAGTTATTGTAGTAATAACTGCCTGTTTTTGCTAAAAGTTTCATGGCTGGTAAAAAAAATTTGGGCTGGTAAATTATCATGTCACCGGCCATTGGCAGGTGTGGCAAAAAGTTAGTTTTAGGCCCTGTTTGTCATAGAGTGAAGATTGTTTTATTTGACATTGATTTGATGTGTCGTAGCCCATTTCTTTGAATGAATACTACTGTTAGACCTATCTGAAACTTAAAGCACTGGTCAATTTAATTGTATTTTCTTTTATCTGAACTTTAATTTTGTTACGGACTAATTTCTTTAATGTTTGAACCTATTAGTCTAGTGTTAGTTTTTGTGATTTATTGAGATTGGAATTGAGAATTGTGAGGTTCATTGGATTCTAAAATATTGGCGGTGTAACCTTGTTTGAATACAAGGGTCAAAAACTAAACTTGAGAGGACTGATTCGGCTGGATGTGTTTTACACATACTAGCAAAATCCTGTCTTGGAGGAAGTTTGCTTTATCTGAATATTGGTTGACTGGCTGAGCTAATGGAATTGGTTGGAGTATTGCATCTGGGGTTTTATCTTTTGTCAAGCATTAGTTTAGTGCTTATTTTAAACTATTTGTTTCATTGCTGTGTTTTAATATTTTCATTTTTCTCTTGCAGCCAGCCAGTTCTTCCTCTGTGGAGATGTCAGCATGATGGGCATCTTTTGATTAAACACTTACCTTCCAACCAGCAGAGCATGCCTGCCTCATCTACTCTCCATGAACAACTTTTGTCTCTTCGTTTTGTAAATAACCCGTTTTCTTTGTCTGTCCAATTTTTGTATAATTGTAGTAAACTTTCAATAAAGGATATTTGCATATGTGAATGTTGCATTCAATATTTCCTTTTTGTTTTAAGAATGCTCTGCTTCAAATAGAGACCGCTCCAGTGGAATCCTGGAAATTCAATGGGCCAAAACTTGTGGATTCCCATGATGGGTTAATAATGGCTATAATATTAGTTGTACGATGTTACAAGTATTTTTGATTTGGTGAGACAATTATAAAGTAATACGGAGCCCGGGAAGTCACCTGTAGGAGAAAAAAAAACAATCCGTGGCGACGGTTTTGCAATCCGTCCCCTCAGTTTATAAACCATACTCACGAATTCTTAAACTGTTCCCTCGGTTTAACGAATCGTACCCACGGATTAACAAACCGTACCCACGAATTTCCAATCCGTGCGCTCAGATTTTGTAAACCGTACCTTCGGATTTTGAATCCGTACCCACAAATTCATAATCCGTGCGCACGCTTTCGCAATCCGTTCCCTCGAGTTTTGTAAACTACTCACGGATTCATGCAGTAAGCTCCTAGGTAGCCTACATGTTAACGAATCATATTGTATATTTTATTGCGGCATATTATTATGTGAAATAGGCATACAGCAAACAGTCTTAAGTGATTCTCTATCAATTGTAACGGTACGAGGTGGAATACAACGATTTAATAAGAAAGATGTGCATCAAAATCTTGTTTAATTTGTGATAATCTTAGCACTTGATTATTATTGTATAATAAACCTGGCATTGTGACTGACTTTGGAGTCATTTGTTCCTCTTTTGTAAGTCGTTTTGGACAGTGTTTTGAATCCGTACCCACAAATTCATAATCCGTGCGCACGCTTTCGCAATCCGTGCCCTCGGGTTTGTAAATGTAAACTCATGGATTTGTGGCCCCGCCCCCACCGGCAGATTCAACCACGGTGCGGGATGCATAGTATTGTGTTTATTAAACATTATTTTTCATAGTAACCTATGAATGAGACCATGATCCGCTCTCACAAAATAGTTTTTTTTATAAACTGAGGGGACGGATTGCAAAACCGTCGCCACGGATTGTTTTTTTTTTTCTTCTCCTACAGGTGACTTCCCGGGCTCCGTAATAAAGCTTTAAACTTGTTGGCAAAAAAAAAAAAAACTTGTATGCAATGTAAAATAATTTATTAGTATCTTAAAATAGTTCATAACGGATGTAAGACAAAAAAATCTGTAGTCACTTGAAAAATTGTTTAAAAATCTGTAGCCACTTGAAAAAAAAAATTAAAATCTGTAGTCACTTGAGACATTTTTTTTTTTTTATTTACAAAGACTTTATTTGCATGGTAATCTAATTTGTTAAATTAAGCAATTTTCTTCTAACTGGCCTCTTCCACATGATCTGTCTGTGGCAGTGATGAAGGTAATGGATTGGATGAGGGTTGCAATGTATTACATTGTTCTTGGTTTGCCAGGATTGTGTTTGAGACCACCTAAACACAAATTCAATGCTGTAAGCTTATCAAAAGCTTTGCAGACTTTGCTATTAAAAAGCCTCTTAAGATTGATAGCTTTAAATATTTTGCGTACCGTGGATATGTACTTGTATTGGTTGGTGTTGTTGGGGTCAATCTTTTCAAGGGTCTGTACATCACCATCACAAGCATTTGCTACACGAAGACCAAGTTCCATGTTACCCATCTTAGAAAGAAAAATAGTATTTAGTCAGATTGAATTAAATTATAACTCCTATAGGACATTTAACCTAGTTGAGACTTTTAGCTTAGTATTTGATGAACGTACTTGTGGCACAGAATTCAGTTGACCTGGACTTAAGGATGCTTGAACTGGGAGAGAGCGGAAGGGAAGCCTCCAGTGACCACTGTGAACCTGGTTGTGCTGGTCAAAGAGATCAAGCTTAGCCCAGCTACAAGTCACCAAGCCCTCAGTTTCATGGTTGAACAAATCCAGACCTTTAGAAGTCTGTATCTCTATGACCAAAGAGAGATCTGGAGATGGCTGTACTCTGAAATAAAGCACAAATTCAATAACGTGAACACATATCAGCTCTGTGTGCCCATATTTATCTCTGAACAAACTACCTTGGCACAGATTGCTTAACAGCCAGTATGGCATAATTTCCAGGACTCTTGGTGGACAGTAATGGTCCTGCAGGCTGGCACTGCACAGGTGGCATTGGGGTGGTCTGTCCCAACTTCTGTCCATTAAAATATAACCCTGGCAATAAACGCACTGATCTCAAGGCATCTTCAACACCCATCACCAGGTCATAGAAGATCACAAAGCCAGCCCTGTACACACACATTCAGACAACAGCTGAACTTGAGTCATATTGTCATGTATTTAGTGTGACACGTGCATGCATCTATAGGGACTATATGAGAAAAATAAAAATGAATCAATAGAGGACGAGGTGAAAATGTGTCTTACACAGGATCATAAGGAGCAGGACTGAGAGTTGCCATCGGATCAGTTACATGGGAGCCCATTAATGAATGCTGTTTTGAACTCTGATCCTGCAATATTGGTAAATACAAAATATATACACCGTATCATTCGTTATCATTCTCACTATCACTGTCACTCAAAGAGAATTTTGTGCATTCCTAAAAATCACATTAACTCAACAGATTGCATCATTAAGATGACTGAAGCTTTGGCTCACCAGTGGCAGAGCAGGGTGTATTATGGCCATAGAAGATCCAGGAAAAACAGGCAGAGGAGCTTGAGGATGGTGTGGTCTTCTCTCTCTGCCCTTCTCTATTTCTCTCCTTAAAAATGCGATCTCGGCTTGAAGGCTAGCCATTTGATGGATGTGGTCTTTCTGGATATCAATAAGCCCTGATCCAGAAAATATTCATTCAAATATTCAAATAGCCTAATAATAGAAATATTCTATAATAACATCAAATATTATGCCTTTAATGAATAGTATAAGCATGCAAATTAGAGACAGAACACACATTTTCTATCAAATGTTGAGCATCACTTTGTCATCAAGTCTCAAGATATAAGATCTGAGAGAAACAGCAATACCGTGCTCTCCTTTGTTCTTCTCCCTGGCCTGCTGGATTCTGAAGATTTCCTCCTCAAGCCTTTGGTTCTCCTGCTCCACAGCAAGAACATCAGTGTCCAGCAGTCTGTGAGGAGACTTCATCCCTGGTGGGACAGAAACAAGATATGACCCTGGGGCTTGAAAGAATAGTGCACAATGACCACAAAAATTATTCAGACACGTAGGCAATACTTCAAAATGTATGAATGTCATAGGATTAAAATATAACACATTGTTCAAAATTAAGACTATTTGGACATCTTCAAGTTGACAAACAACGTAAGTAGTGACAAACCAACATCGTCATTCAAAAGTTTGGGGTAAGAATTTTGATGTTTTTGAAAGAAGTCAATGTCTACCAACGATGCATTTATGTGATCAAATATAGTAAAAACAGCAATATTATTTTTAAAAAATACAGTAAAATAAATACAGTAATATTATGACATTTTACAGTTTTTTTTTTTTTCAAAATGCTCACAGTTTTTGAAACTATGGCTCCATTTCTCAAAACTCTACACACAAAACACCAAAACAAACACACACAACATACAAAACGTCACACACATCTTGCAAAAGCAAACACTCTTTAAACTCTTCTAAAAATGTTATATTTGCATAGTAACTCCACACACGAACATAAAATAAATAGCCACATACATGCCAAACTACACACACGTGAAAAATGTAAAACACTACTCTCGTGTGTCTTTTGCTTGTTCAGAGAGCAGCGGAGTGCACAGGAGTATGCCATAGCATTCTCACATACTGTACATGCATATGCACATATACACTGTATATACAGTATGTATGACTGATTCATTTTACACAGTTACGCAACTGAACTGAATCAATGCTCAACTGACTAGAGCCGTAGAATGACACTATTGACTTGTTAGAGCTGCTTTACAGCAGAATGTGAATTTGATACTATTGTGAAGCTGCTGTAAAACAATGTATATTGTATAAAGCACTTTAGAAATGAAGTTGACTTTCTGACTTGGCTTGTACGCATGTTCAGTATAGATAGATAGATAAATCAGCTTTATTTATAACGCGCTTTGTACAATATAGATACAGTGTAAACAGAAATGCAGGGGGGTAAAAATAATTTCTTTCTAAAAAACTACTTTTGATTACTAAGTGAACAAATGATGTATAAGTGTTTTCCCAAATTAAACAAAAGAGCTGTTAGTTTCCAATAATGTGTGTAATGTAGAGAACTGTGTTTAGAGTTTTGCAAAAAAGTTTGTTTTACGATATCAAACTGAGTATAAAGCATGTAATGTGCTTATAGTTTTGCAGTCTTGGTCTAAAGGTTTATAAGTGAATGGTTCCACTAAGTGGGCCTCAAGTACCACTTTTAGTGTCTAAGCAATTTAAAAAAACTGTAATATAACTGTTTTCTATTTTAATAAATATATTTTAAAATGTAATTTATTGCAGTGATTCAATGCTGAATTTTCAGCAGCCATTACTCCAGTCTTCAGTGTCACATGATCTTTCAAAAAATATTATTATATGCTGATTTGGTGCTCAAGAAATATTTATTATTATCAATGTTGTGCTGCCTTTTTCAGGATTCTTTGATGAATGGAAAGCATTTATTTGAAACGTTTTTTTTGTACCAACTTAAATCTTTACTGTCACTTTTGATCAATTTAATAAACCCTTGCTGAGAAAAGTATTATTTACTAAATAAATAAATATCAAAATCAATCAATCAATCTTACTGACCCCAAATTTTTGAATGCCATTACTCCAGTCTTTAGTGCCACATGATCATCCAGAAATCTTTCTAATATGCTGGTATTTGTTTAAAACATTTCTTAATATTATCAGTGTTGAAAAGCAGTTGTGCTGCATTTTTTTAATTGTGGAAACCATAATAAATTTTTTTCAGGATTCTTCGATGAATAGAAATTTAAACAATTATTTAAATTAGAAATTTTTGTAAGAAAAATCTTTACTGTCACTTATGGTCAAATTCATCCTTGCTAAATAAAAATATGAATTTCCTTCAGAAATATCTTACTGACCCCAAACTTTTGAATGGTAATGTATAAGGAATTTTCCACGACATTCTAATTTATTGAGATGCACCTGTATGTTTATAATACACAAAATTTTTATTAAAACATTGTTCAACTGGAGTTTTTTGGAATAATTAAATAGCATTCAACTACTTACAATAATTAAATCAGGTGTAGGATGCAACATCTTCCCAGCTGCTTTCTCCGTTTGCGTGAATCCCCTTTGTCTCCATAGAGCGTGCGGGTCTTTTAGGTCTGTGCCAATGCAGAATTTGGCCTTGTGTTTATCCAAGAGTGCCGTAGAATGGAATGCCATCTTACAGTTTCGACAAATTAACTCCCCCAAACCTTCCATCTCTCCAGCAAGTGCTCTGTAGAATTTAGAAATTTTTCCCCTTATTTAAACTTTAAATTGGGCTGATTCTTAAAAAAATAGGAATATACTTTTTGTTAGAATGTCTGCCTTAACTTTTACGTTGTGCATTTGTTGACTGAAGTTTTGTTTGTTGGTTACAGTCACCTTGGAAACAGGGAGTGGTGAAGAATGGATGAGGTTAGAGCAAGAAGAATCCAACCCTTCAATGTTTATGCTTATTATTTTTATCCTTTGCATGCATGTTTTGAACATTACCATTTGCCTTCCTAAAACATGAAGAATGTTTCCCCAAGTGTTTCAGCAGAAAACGAAAGTCTGGACATGTTTGGCAAACTGATGCAAAATATTTATTACAAAATTTTTCTCCGATCTTTTCATTATGATGCAGTAGTTTATGTCTGCTTTGTCTCATACAGATAAACCCATACATGACACCTTTTATCTTCTCAAATCTGTAAATAATGTTATCAAAATAATCTTAATCTTCCAAAACTCACAATTTTTTATTCTTATATTTTTTACAATCCACCCTGAATATCAAGGCTGCAGAAACAATATAATGCAAACAAAAGAACAAAAAAACAACTATGTGGGAATTTTTACAGCAGTACCAAAATTAAAAAAGAAACTTAAATCTGTGATAAAGCAATTTTTATACCCCATCAGCAAAAACAAGGTACAAAAAAAAGGAGATGCACAATTTACACCAGCAGTCCCTCATGAAACAAAGAACTTTTAAAGATGGATCTCAACTTCACTGCCAGCAGCAGGGATAGAACTTGGCGCCCAAATTGAACTGTTTAAAGAACAACAAAGCAGAACAAAGCGTGCAAGCCATCTGACTGAATCGCTCAAAGTTCAGAGTCATTACAAATCATAGACAGCTCAGACCAATTACTGCATTGTAAACATTACATAAGCCCAATAATGTTTAATGCTTTCTATTCCATTGGGTAGATTTTATTAGGGTTTTGTGAGGGAATAAGTTCATCAGACCTTTCTCGTGTTTATTGAATACTACATGCAATGAATGTAAAGCTATTGAAAATGATTGCCACAGCATTATTTCTGTAAGCATGAAATGCTTTCTATAGAGTAACTCTCAATATGGTTTAAATCAAACAGCTTTTAGGTTAAGGAAAAAAAACTTTTACACTATATATGGGCAAGAAAGAAAAGTGTATGTTTATGATTTTTTTTAAACTTCAATTTTTCCTAAACAGAACCCAACCTCAGTGAACTGAACATCTGTATGTTCGCCAAGCTTCCCAGAACGCAGCATATAAAACATAGACCCTTCCATCCAAACGTTACCTTTATTAAAAAACCAGTTCCTGACAAACTCTTCTGCAAGCTAGGCTTCAAATCTAACTTTTAAACATCCTTTAAAGGTTTTCTCACATGTGTACTTGGCAGACATACGAAATCAGATATATTAGTATGGTTCAGCAGAATGAAAAGAGTGAAAATGAGCAGTTTGCTGGAACTGGAGCCAGAAATGGACTGATGTTCTAGCTGCCAGATTGCATGTGACAGTCCATTCAGTGTTGCTTTAGTTCTTCCTTGCTGCAGGGATGACTGGCTTGAGTTCATTTCTATGAGGGACTGGGAAGATTGAGAATGATTGTTTCATCTTAACACTAATGCTATGAATTGTTTTTCGCGAAAAGGAAAAAAAAAAAAAAAAAAAAATTTAGAAAGGTGTCAAAAGCCATTTTATAGAACATTCAGATGATGCCATATTTCATGTTAAATCACGGTTATAATTGGTGTTATTATTATTAATTAGTCTTTTTTACCCAAACAAAAATAAAAAAGATCTGGTGGAGGGTGTTGTGTGGCTTTCTTTGACATTTCTAGTTCAGGATAAAGAACAAAATGCAGACAAGGAGACATAGGGGGGGAAAAAACAAAATCAAACAAAAAGACACTGCCTACGAGCTGACAAGTGAATTCCTTTTCTCTCCGCCTGGGATATGACCGATGTTCCTTGTCCATGAAAAGAATCTCTTCTTTTAGTTTGAAACAAATGGGTGTGATGGAGGAGACAGATTAAGTGAAAGGGAAATGTGGGAGGGGTGTTTAAAGCCACATTAGGTATCATCATCATCGGAGGTCTGGCTGCTACTGCTCGTCTCAGACTCAGAGCACTCTTCCAGGCCAGGGTTAGGGGCGTTCCTCCAGGTTAGCAGGGTCACACTACGTGGCTTCAAGAGCACACCGTTACGTCCCAGACCAATCTTCTTCATCTGAGAGCAAACACACATATAGTCAGGCACAAAGGAAATGAACTACGTGCAGGATGCGCTTCAATTTAAACAAAGAATAAACAAACAAACAATGTATACATGTCCCATACCTGTTCAGTTTTAGCTTTAAACTCTTTGAGTTCATCCTCGGTGAGGGGCTGGAAGTTGTCATCATTTTCTGGGTATTCTTGCCATCCCATTGCCTTCAGCAACCTGTCACAGAGGATCCACATGTGTGAGTATGTGGATTGTGGATATGTTCCATGTTGTTGTGATGTGAGCGGATCAATGTGAGGCTCTGTTCAAAAACCTAGTGTGCTGCCTATTAAGGTAGCATTACACCATAAGTGTGCCAGTAATATATCAAAGATAACTGGTTTTGGCAAAATGATATCCTTCATTATGAATTTAATTTGAAATGCAATGTGATGAAGCTCAGTGAAA